AGCAAATATGCTTCCATATTTTTCAACTATATGCCCATCGCAATTTTAGGTATATTAGAAATAAAAACCAATCTAGTTTCTCAATTAAAGTGCACACACAGATGTAGCCCACAGCAAACACAACACACACAAACAAACAAAATGCAAGCACTCAAAAGTGTCAAATGCTGCCAATCAAGACATTAAAACAAAGGCATCACTCAAATTTGATCAATACATCCAGGAATTCATACTCGATGGAGAAGTTTGGATCATTAGTTCTCTAATAATTTTTACAAACAAAAAACTCTATCTGGGTGTTTATAGTGTGATCGTCTTGTTGAAATTTTTTCAGATTCCAGGTATAGCAGAGTCAACCCCCACCACAAAATGGCAAAAATGAATACAGCTATACATTTTAGACATCATTTCCAATGATGTTTGCCTTCTAAATTACACCTATAAATTAGCTTCTAAATAAATCCATTTACAATGATTCTAAATGGAGAGAAGCAATAAGAATTGGATGAACTAGTTCTGTGCCAGTGCAAACGGCTCTGGAAAAAAATGTCAGTACGACTAGCTACCAAGCACATATAATCAACCATCACTTTCTTTGAAATTTTCCCTTCGTTTTAAGTTTAATACATCATCGTTACACCTCGGATAGGCTGAAGCCACACCATATGCTGACTCAAGAAGATAACTGGCAGAGAAAAGGGGAATTGTAACAAAACAGGGATCCAGAACAGGCATTTTCTAAACAAATCTTTCACTTGTCTTAAATTCAAATCTCATCCTTGGGCATGACAATTCCTCTCCCTAGATGCTTCTATGAATGCAAGTTCAGGTACCTCTATTCCAGCTCTATTTTTTTGTTATTCATATCCAATACACAATTTAACGATCAGAAAAATACCAAGAACGTAGTACCATGTTTATTTAAGTCAACACAAAGTACTGATACTAGGCCCCAATATCAATAAAACAGATGCGATCAAGGCAAACAATTTCTGACAATCACCACCCATATCACATGGATGCTCTGTAATAAACAAGACAAGAAAAACAGAACAAAAAATATATATTATCTGATACAGGGCGTTGACCTGGGCTTTATTTCTAATCTTCTAACCAAAGAAACATCAAAATAAATCCACATGAGATCACATAACACGAACCTATGTGTATGTGTATGTGTATGTGTATGTGTATGGGGACAAAAGTAAAGAAAACCATCCAACACAAATTAGCAGACCCGTCTAATTCAACTGGAGCAGAAATGGACAGGTTAAATTTTCCCCGATTACATGCTGTCAAAGCATGAGAAATAAACAGTTTCTAGCAGTACTGCCCACATCCCGCAGAATGTAGATGCCTAATAACCAATATAACACACATAAAGGAAATACTGATAATCATAATTATAGGCAGCTAAGCACAATTTCACATTAAGTACATATTCCAAAACACCTTCCAGAAAAACCCTAATCATATCTCAAGCATGCTTCAACATTATATTATGTCTATGTGCATGGATAACCCAAAAAAAAAAAAAAAAACCCTTCCAACACAAATTGAGCAGAGCTTTTTAATCCAACTGTAAGTAGAGCAAAAGGATGAAATTGTGGGCCTTGGAATTGAGATTGGGATTGGAAGAGTAATTACTTCAATTCTAAAACTATTCATCCTCAATTACAACTCCAACTCCTCAATTCCAAGCTTCCAAAGACCTTGTAAATAAACGGTTTCTAAAAATTACCACCCACATGCCGAGGAATACATAAGCTTAATACCCACCATGACACAAAAAAATCAAGTATCAGCTTAATCATAACCATATGGACAATCTATGTTGCATTATAAGTAAGATCAAAATCCACGAAACAAAGACAATGTAACACTAACCACATATCCCAAAACACACTTTCCATAGCATTAACCATTAAAATAACCATAAGCGGCGCAACATCGTCCTTAACAGAACAACTAAGTAAACAGTTTCTAGAAATCACTACCCACATCCCGCAGGATACAAAAGTTTAATACCCACATCGTAATAATCAATTTCTGAAAATTGCTACCCACATCGTAAGTAAACAGTCACTAAAAATTACTACCCACTTCTCACATGATACAGAAGCTCTTCTTTTTTTTTTTGGAAGAAACAATGATACATATTTCATTAACTAGAAAAGTTTACATCTTTATAGAGGAAATACAACAGAAAATAGGGAATCTCCTCCATCCACGAAGTTGGAAAACTACAATTTATAACAAAGTTAGCAAGACAATTGGCGACATCATTTCCTTCTCTATGAATCCAAGATACTGAAAAGGACTCGAAAGTAGACCCATAAACCTGAATTTGCACCACAAAGTTTCCAATCTCCGATAACTCCAACTGATGCTTCTGAATAGCATCAACTACAACTATGGAATAACTTCTATTACAATCCTTGTATAACCAAGTTAATGGCCCAAACGCACTACAGTGAAAGCAGCCAAAGCTTCCACATTATTTGCACTTAACTGTCCAGCTATTTTGAATAAAGCCTGCTAAAAAATGTCCATTACGATTCCTTAACACTACTCTCACCCCCAAGCATCCACAAGAACTAAAATTTGCACCATCAAAATTGATTTTACAACTCCCCATTGGTGGAACAATCCATTTAATATTCTGTATCCGATCGACTTGGGTATGCAATCGACTTGCCTTGAGTTTGTGTGGAATGACATTGCTGGAGATAATCCTTCAAAAATTCAACCACTTCAAATGGAGCTAACCACATTGCCCAATCTATGACAAATACCAGTGCAGCTTGTTCGTCTCCGAGATTTTCTAAAATAAAAACCAGCCATGCCATTCATGAACATTTGACAAAAGTCCTCATGGGAAATGTAATCTAGCAACATCCCAAACAGCAATTGCACGGGACACCTTAAGAATAAATGGAAGGAAGACTTGTATGATTCACCACACATGAAAGTCATTAAGAACTTGAACTCTTCTCCTTTGTAGATTGCTTAATATAGGCACAATATCAATAAACAACCACCAAGTGAAATTCTTAATTTTGTTAGGCACTTCAAAAGCCAAATAGACATACCCGACCATCTACCACCCTCTCTACTAGTGAACCCAGAGTTATGTTGAACACTGACCAAATTTTGTTCAATAGCTAGATGAAAAGTGCTACATACCGAAAAATGACCAGAATTCATATAATGCCACCTTATACGATCTTTCTGTAGATGTGGACATATTGGTATAGACAGTATAACATTAACTTCAAAATTCAAGAAGTGTTGAGGAAGCAACTCAACATTCAAGCTTTTAGTCACAAAATCAATAAAATAACTCACTCTTTTATCATCATTGAGGTCCAACATATGACTAATAAACTTGAAAGCATTTGGTCTTGGAATCCATCTTTCATGCTTTACTCTTACTCTTTGACCATCGCCGATCCACAATGTGTCTAGAAGCTAATATACTCCTCCAAGAGTATGAAGGATTAGACCCAAGTCTAGCCTCCATCAAAGAAGAAGGAAAATATTTTGCCTTGAGAACTTTGAATAATAAGGATTCAAGATTCTGAATTCACCTCCAATATTTGTTTCACAAATAAGGAAATATTAAAGACTTCAATATCTCAAAAGCCCATACCACCTCTCGACTTCGATAAACACAACTTCTTCCAAGATACCTAACGAATTTTATTACCTTCATCAGTTTGATCCCATAAAAAATTGGTAATGATATTGTTTATTACAAGACATGGCGTAAATGTGTATTGCCTGAGCCACGGATTTTATCAAAACTTCCTTACCAACACGAGATAGAAGCTCACCTTTTCATCTTTGAACTTTAGGTCAAACCCTTAGCTTAATAACCAGATATTTCTCATCGCTTACAACAACTTTCAAAGGCCGCAGCTCCAAAACAGAGGTTCTCTTTGCAAGAGTAACATCATCAGAAAAAACTAACTCTGATTTGGACATGTTGATAGTCTAACTTGATACCTTTTTCATAAAGAGATAAGCAAGTCTTGATATTCTGTGCATTTATCTAATTTGTTTTTGCAACGAACAAGCTATCATCAGCGAAAAGTAAATGAGTGAAACTTGAACCTCTCTGCCCAGCCGATAAAACTTGGACCCCTTCTCAATCCTCCTTTTTCTTTAAAAGAGCTTAAATCCCTTCAGAACACAATAAGAATAAAGAGGATGACAATGCATCACCTTGCCTTAATCCTTGTTGTGGATGAAAATAGCTCTAATCTCCATTTCATGATCAACTAATTGAACAAGAGACAAAAGTTACACATTTCATGATCAACTATATCCAGCAATTATCAAACCCAAGCCTATCCATTATTGCCTCAGGAAAACACCATTCTACCCAATCATAAGCCATGCTCATATCCAATTTCAAAGACATATAACCTTTCCTTCCATTTCTCTTCAACAATAAAAACATTATCGATTATCAGTCAAAATGGTACAAAAGTACTTTGATATTTCGATATTACCTGTGAAAGAATTCGTTAGCAAGAACTTTTGACATTACAAAGACTTACCGAACAAAATTAAGACAATGGTATAATTGATTTTATGACAAAAATTACCAGAATTCAGAAAATCAAAGACCAATTCAGTTAACATGACTTCCAACCACCCCCCAAAACCTTTGATAAAACACAAGGCCCATACCATTAGGACCAAGGGATTTGGAGGGGTGAAATTGCTTAACTGCCTCAACCATTTCATTGGGTGTAAATGGTTGATCTAACCTTGAATTCATATCCTATACATATCCTATGATACCTTTTGATGAACAAATTGTAACACCTCCATCATATCATCTTGAGAGTATTAGATGTAAATAGATTTTGGAAATACTATACTGCTATATTCACTATCTATCTCTATTCGAAATTCATATTCCACTTCCATCTCTCAATCCTTTGATTTCATTTCTCTGTCTTCTCATATTTGCATGAGCATGAAAGAACTTAGTATGAAAGACTTCCCACCACCGCCTCATGAGAAAACAAATCTGAGCCATTTAACTTCGAAATTTTGAAACTATGAAGTTCCCTCCGCACTGCAATAGTCACCTCCACTTCCCTCCTTTCAACAATAACCACCTCCTGTACAGCATCATCTTTAGAAATAGTCATTTCTTTAGGAAAATCATTTGACAAGTCCTTCAACTACCAATTAGGGAACTACATCTGATCGATTTCCGTCCCATCTGTCATTACCAACGATTCACCAAAGATGTCCACCAGAAAGCACTACCTTAGAAGAAGGATTGACTTTCTAAAAGAAGCATTTAACCAAGGACCATATTGAGCTTCCCTCTTCCCACTGCCATCATCATCTTTAACACAATGAGGACATTGTTTCTTAATGTGCCCCATCTGTCCACAACACAAACACAATTATGGTAGCCTCTCATATTGAAACAGTGCAAAACAAGAATTACCTTCTGGTCTTTGAAACTTTACTCCTCGCCTCAATGGATCGAAAGCATTGATCTGTACATGAATATTGATGATACTCAGAATGATTCCCAAGCAGGAGCTCGGGAACGGAGGTCAAACATGGAGGTCAGGTATGCAGAGCTCAAAAAACCAGAGTTAGAATTCCCCTCAAGCGAGATAATAAGCTGAAGCAATGAGGAAGCAATTGGATACTACAAAGNAATGGAGGTCAGGTATGCAAAGCTCAAAAAACCAGAGTTAGAATTCCCCTCAAGCGAGATAATAAGCTGAAGCAATGAGGAAGCAATTGGATATTACAAAGAACTCGACAGGCGGTTTGAAGTAACACTCGAGGCACAAAATCCTCAACCAACAAAGATACTCTCCTAAAATCAAGGAGAATTCCTCGGATAAATGGTGAGGATCACGGATCAGATCCCATAGATTAAGGGCCGAAATCCCATAGATTAAGGGTCAATAGACTTCTATTATTTCAATAGACTTCTATTATTTCAATTGTTTCATAATACTTGAAACAGCCTGTAATCTTCAATGCTCACCTCCTTAGTACTGCACTCTTTTGGAATTCCAGTTACTTGAATAAATAGAAAGGCCGAACATGGATGGGCAAATAGAAAAATTTCATGTCCATTTCTTAAAGAGCAATAGTTGGTTATCAAAACATCAAGGACCCATATTGATAACTTTCCATATATCCTTTTCATCATGGAAGAAGAAGTGGAAGATATTCGATTTAATTTTGGAAAGACCCATATCTTTACAGCCCATACCAAGACGAAAGTGATTAACATAAAAAATATATATATAATCAAATGATAGAAAAAAAGATGAACTACAGAATCGAAAATGAAACAACTGACCGAAAGAAACTAAAAAAGGAAACTAACTTACACAGACGAGAAAACAAAAGTAAATATCAGAAGAGAAAATATATGAGCAGCTGAAATAGAAGATGAAACGTTGTTAATCGAAATCCAACCCATGACAACGAGAGAGAGAGAATAAACACTCCTAAAGGACACCCAAGGAGAGGAAATTTAAAGGATATCAATATCAAGCATGAATATGCATAGGAGCAATATACAGCCTATCGCCATAATTAAGATCAAACCCATGAAAAAAACACAATCTAACACTATTCACACATCCCAAAACACAATTTCCATAGCATTAACTATCAAGATAATCGTAAGCAGCACAACATCAAACTTAAGAGAATCACATAAAGAAGTAGTACAGGGTTTATTCATATTCAGATTAATATTACTACCACTATTATTCCTAGAATTTCATTTCTTGAAGCTACCACGAACGCCAGGACGAGGCTTCGAAGTTTCAGCAGCATAGACAGTGGCATGAAGATTATTGACCTTGGACTCCTCGAAGGGGATCTTAGGGTGCTTAGCGTCATGGTGAATCTGCATGGACTTGATGTCCGGTGCCGTGATCTTGCAGTGCGGACACTCGAACTTTGCGTGGCCGCCCTTCTCCAGGCCCGTCCTGTCCATCTGGCCCGCCTTGCCTCCGCCTCTGTTGGTCGTCGCAGCGTCGACTTTCGATGCAATTTCTTTTGCCGTGTGCTTCTTCGGCTTTGCCTTACCAGTCATGATTGAGCGAGGGTTTTCAAGAGTATGGGGGTGTTGGATGGAGAACGCCAAGTGAAGAACCCACCCGAATGAGGAGTGGAATGTGAAAAACCCTAGTTTACTTTTTATAGCGTAATAACAGCATAATTGAAAAACGAAATAAAGGCGAGAATTGTAACTATGGGCCGTTTGGTTTGTGGGGCAAAATTTTCATTTCCTGTATGAGGTCTATATAATAAAATACTGTATGAGGTCTATATAATAAAATACATAGACGGTCACGATTTTTTTCTCTAAAATTATCACATCACTCTAATCTATCATGTTTAATTATTTAATATTTAATTAATTTATTATTTAACATAATTTTTATTTCAAATATTATCCATACACGATAATATACACATATTAAAAAAATTTTATCAAATTACGTACTTTNTACTCTAATCTATCATGTTTAATTATTTAATATTTAATTAATTTATTATTTAACATAATTTTTATTTCAAATATTATCCATATACGATAATATACACATATTAAAAAAAATTTATCAAATTACGTACTTTTAGAAAATTTTGTCAATATTTATATCAAAATAATTCGTAAAAATAAATTTGGAATGATATAATCAAATAAATGAAGAAAAAAAATTATTATTTAATATATTGAAATCGATTTTTTAGGAGCTTAAATTTTATGTTTTATCGTGCCTTCAGTCACAAATTATAACTAGTTTGCTTAAATAATAGAGGGAATTACACTCAAATCTTCTAAAGTTTGTCATTTATTCACTTAAATTCTTTTTATATTTGAAATATTTAACACAATCTCTTAAATTTGTACATGTATAGCACTTAGACTTCTGTCCTGCCGTCAATGTCTATTAGTATATCAGTTAATAAATTATCTTTAAATCCCCTGAAGTTTATANTCATTTATTCACTTAAATTCTTTTTATATTTGAAATATTTCACACAATCTCTTAAATTTGTACATGTATAGCACTTAGACTTCTGTCATGCCGTCAATGTCTATTAGTATATCAGTTAATAAATTATCTTTAAATCCCCTGAAGTTTATAGATATATAATATTTAGATCCCTCAAATATAAAATATTATACTTAGATAAAAAATACTCCAATCAAATATCAAATATCAAATACTTTTAATTTATAACCAAAATTTATATTTTATTATATTATTTATTGAAATAAAATCAAAAATAAAAATTTAAATTTTTTCTTAAAAAATCGTAATTAGTATACAATTATACTATATATTGGAATAAAACTAAAAAATCAAATAAGAGGTCTAAGCCATCATTATAGAACATGAATTTTATAATCAAAATTCGTGTTCTATTATTTCATTTATTGAAATAAAAAATTAATTTTTTCTTAAAAAATAATAATTAGTATATAATTATACTATCTATTGGAATAAACTAAAAAAAATCAAATAAAGGGTCAAACTGTAATCGACATAAAATCTTTTAGTTTTAATTGGAATAATTTGATAGTTTAAATAACCAAATTAAATTCTAATAGATAGTATAATTTTATACTAATTATGATTTTTTAAGAAAAAATAATTTTTTATTTTTAACTTTATTACAAAAATTTTACATTCTATCTTTAATTGAAATATTTGTAGTCTAAGTATAATATTTTAAACTTGAGGGATATAAATATTACACGCCTACAAACTTCGGGAGTTCTGAATGTAATTTACTAACAAAATATTGCATAGTTGTTGGCCTCATTTCATGTTTTTTAACTTAAATTTTTATATTAATTATTTAGAATTAGTTAAAGTTGGGAATAATGTGAAAATTTTGATGTTGCAGGTAATTATAACATAAATGATGGCTTTTAGAGCTTTGCAACTAAGTGTGAATGTGTGGTGAAGAGATGGACACATTGAATGAGGATAGGGAGGCTTGGAAGGTGAAGAAATCAAGAAAAATGCAATTTTGATAAAAACCTTTTGGAAAGTTTGACCATAAACCTTTCGAAAGGTTTAGCCCACTAGTTTCTCAAGGTCTTGACACAAGTCCCGTTGTTTTTCCCATGTTTGACTATGATTTACTTCGAATCTGAAAAAGTGCAAAACCTAAAAGTTGTAGATCTGGATGTCTTCTGTATTGTGTCAAAATTTCAACTCAATCCAACGGTTTGATCAAAAGTTATGGAAATTTTACTAAAAGTGGTCCTGAGTTGTCACCTTTTGAAAGACCTTTCGTAAGATTCTGCCTATTGGAATCAACCTTCTAGAAGGTTTTGCGCAGAACGCCTGCAACTCATGCTCCACTTGCTTGGGGGTCCCATCATTGATTCTCCCACTTGTCCCCTAACATCCCTTACACATCTACATGTCTCTCAACATTCTTGCTTGGAGTTTGGAGGAATTGGCATTAATGAGAATGGGAGAGAAGGGGGCTGCTAGAGGAGTTCTAGGCTAGTCTTCTCCTAGCCTGCCAAGCCAATCAACTCACCTCCCATTGATGGGAGACCTGCGCACAGGCTATAGGGAGTCTCATTGACGAAATTTGCATCCTCTCTCACCATATATTCAGCATTCCACAACTTTTTGAGGGGTGGCTACCTAAGCTAGGAGTAGTTCAATGTAGAANCCGAAAGGTTTAGCCCACTAGTTTCTCAAGGTCTTGACACAAGTCCCGTTGTTTTTCCCATGTTTGACTATGATTTACCTCGAATCTGAAAAAGTGCAAAACCTAAAAGTTGTAGATCTGGATGTCTTCTGTATTGTGTCAAAATTTCAGCTCAATCCAACGGTTTGATCAAAAGTTATGGAAATTTTACTAAAAGTGGTCCTGAGTTGTCACCTTTTGAAAGACCTTTCGTAAGATNTGTGTCAAAATTTCAACTCAATCCAACGGTTTGATCAAAAGTTATGGAAATTTTACTAAAAGTGGTCCTGAGTTGTCACCTTTTGAAAGACCTTTCGTAAGATTCTGCCTATTGGAATCAACCTTCTAGAAGGTTTTGCGCAGAACGCCTGCAACTCATGCTCCACTTGCTTGGGGGTCCCATCATTGATTCTCCCACTTGTCCCCTAACATCCCTTACACATCTACATGTCTCTCAACATTCTTGCTNGGTTTTGCGCAGAACGCCTGCAACTCATGCTCCACTTGCTTGGGGGTCCCATCATTGATTCTCCCACTTGTCCCCTAACATCCCTTACACATCTACATGTCTCCCAACATTCTTGCCTTGGAGTTTGGAGGAATTGGCATTAATGAGAATGGGAGAGAAGGGGGCTGCTAGAGGAGTTCTAGGCTAGTCTTCTCCTAGCCTACCAAGCCAATCAACTCACCTCCCATTGATGGGAGACCTGCGCACAGGNTCAACATTCTTGCTTGGAGTTTGGAGGAATTGGCATTAATGAGAATGGGAGAGAAGGGGGCTGCTAGAGGAGTTCTAGGCTAGTCTTCTCCTAGCCTACCAAGCCAATCAACTCACCTCCCATTGATGGGAGACCTGCGCACAGGCTATAGGGAGTCTCATTGACGAAATTTGCATCCTCTCTCACCATATATTCAGCATTCCACAACTTTTTGAGGGGTGGCTACCTAAGCTAGGAGTAGTTCAATGTAGAAGATGATGAATAGTAATTAGAAAGCTTATGTTTTTGCATTTTCCTTTCCATTTCAGTTGTGGTAAGCTTTTAACCTCTTGCAATCTTTAACTCTTGCACCTTAATGTCATTTACTTCAAGTTCATTTCAAGTTTAGTTACATGTTCTTCATTTCACCATTAATGTTTTCAAGCATTCTTCATTTTTAGTTTTAAAATGGGTATTGTATTTCTTTCTTTATAGTTCAAGTTTTCTTGCATTAAGTTAAGTTTCATGCTCCATTTCAATATTATGTCTCTTTATATTATGTATTTGTTTCTTGCTTTCATGAGTAGCTAGCTTTTTAGTTAGCTAATCCAAGGGAGACCTCCTCTTGGGCTTTCCATTTCAACTCATTTTCTTTCCTTCTCTCGGCATACGATGATTCAGTTTGACTAAGTTGAGGGTGGATGAGATGGTGAGCCTTTGATATCCCATAGACCTAGTCACGGTTTATGCTTAGATACTCATTCCATCTCGTCCCTAACTTCCCACGAATCAATCGTTCATCTATGCACCATTAGAGGAAGGTTTTGTGTTGAGTTGGGATTCCCATTGGAATGACCTCTTTGGATTAGCCAACACTTATTTTCCTTTCAATTGCACCAAAAACAAAATCACAAAAACTCAAACTCAAACTCAAAGATTTTTACACTTTTCCTTTTTGCACAAAATCACCTTCACATAATTCCCTTCCTTCCCTAAGGAGACGACCTTGAAATACTTTTCCAAGTAAAACACGACACTCAAAAGACTCTCTATACTTGGGGAACACTTTTGTACACACACACATTCATTTTGTTCATTTCATTCCACATTATTCTGTTGCCTCATTTCTTGCATCATTCCGAGGGAGAGTGACACTCCCTTATCCCTATAAGTCATACATACATTGAGGGATGATGTCTAGAGGTTAGGGATAACAAGAAAAATAATGAAGCACTAACATATATACTAACGGACATAGACAGCAGGGGTCTAAGTATTATGCATAAACAAACCTCAAGGGGTCTGTTTGTAAATATTTCAAATGTCAAGCATATAAGTGATTAAGTAACAAATTGCAAAGAATCAAAATGTTATTCTCCTTAAATAATGTGTCGACTCCTCACACTTTAAAGCATGAATTACAAATCACATTCTTAAAGTATTGATGCATTTTTTATATTGGTCCCNATCTAAGTATTATACATAAACAAACCTCAAGGGGTCTGTTTGTAATATTTCAAATGTCAAGCATATAAGTGATTAAGTAACAAATTGCAAAGAATCAAAATGTTATTCTCCTTAAATAATGTGTCGACTCCTCACACTTTAAAGCATGAATTACAAATCACATTCTTAAAGTATTGATGCATTTTTTATATTGGTCCCTGTA